TGGCCCATTCCTCTCTGTGGGTGAGCGCCATCCATGTGAGGTCATCAGCATCAGCATCAGAATGAAAGGAGTGCAATAAGTGTTTGTCACTCGTTCAGATCACACAATGCATTCATTACCTTGAATGGGAATTATCGTGGTTAAACAAAGCTCCTGTTTATGTTGGAATAATTCTTCAAGAATAATAATCACCCAAATAAAAGCCTAATTCTTTTTTTTTTCATTAAGGTACTTCTTGCAAACTGCATCAAAACGCTCTCGTGGCTGAAACCCAGATCGGAAGCGCCAAAGTAATAGAATGGACTGTAATGGAAGGAAAAAAGCTTTATTTCAGTCCTGCAGGACGCGCATGGCGCGTAATGGGCGTCTCCCACGTAGGGAACGACAGGGGGTACCTGGTGGCTGCTTCGTGGGCCTGCTGGACGGCCTATTGCTTGTCGGCGAGAAGTGAGCTCCTGAGGAACCTCTCCCACTTGTTTGAGGTAGAGTCGAGAGGAGTGTTCCTACACTCCCAGAGCATGTGTGCGAGTATCGCCATGTGCCCACATGATGGGCATGTGTCTCAGGGGTATGCATCAGGATAATAAACCTGAAGCTGGCAAGGTTTGGGTACGTGTGTGTCTGTAATAGGCGTAGGGGTAATGCCTGCGCTCTGTTAAGTTTTGTAGGGGGGGGGGGGGTTGTGCAAGAATGCGGCGTTCAAGGTAAAAGTGCTTTGTTATATCATTGTACTAATGGGTGCATCCCGATTGGTCTCTAACAAAGCAAGATGGGTTGCCCTGTTGCGGTGCGGTCGGTAAGTGCGCGCGCTGCAGCATGCGTGATCTCGTTGAGATTGTATAGGGTACCCGGCACCTGGCCGAGATGGGTGGGGAACCAGATTACAGTGTAGTGCTTCAGGGCACTCGGGTCTGCTTGGCGCAGGATAAGTAACCCCTCTTCGGAGATCACTCCGCGTTCGAAGGCTTTGATGGCCGGTCTGGAGTAACTGTAGATGAGTTTCCGTTTGCTGTTGAGCCTAGCTATAGCTATAGCTACTTGCTTCGCTACTCCGGTGTTTCCGGTGAGGATTGTGGCAGATTTAAGAATCTGCTGCGCGGATGATACCGCGACCACACGAAGGCTCGGTTGTTGTGATAGGCAGCAACGTCCACGAACGAGACGTTGTCCGCTTCCATGTCTATGCGCTTGAGAATGGCGGTCACCCGCGCAAGGCACCTGCCTGTGTTGTATTTGGGGTGTACATTTTGCGGAATGGGAGTGATCGTAATAAGGTCGTGGATTTCACGGGGAATTAGAATAAACTCTGGGGGGTCCCTGGCCGTCGAAGAGAAGAAGCCGAGCTCGCGCAGAATATGGCGGCCTGCCTTAGTGGTTGTGAGTCGGGTAAATTGCACGCGTTCCTGAGCTTCGGCATTCTCTTCTAGCGTGTTATGTACGCCAAGCTCCAGGAGTTTGTGCGTTGGAGTGGTAATAGGGAGGTCAAGGGCTCGTTTGGCCACCTTGCGAATAAGCGCATTGAGTTGATTGCACTCAGCACGTAGCCATTTGTGTATAGCGGCAACGTAAGAAACATGACACAAGACAAACCCGTGTACAAAATGCAGCATGTTGTCTTCTCTGAAGCCCTCGTGCCTGTATGCTACTCTACGTAAGAGTCGTATGGCCTTCTCAGTCTCAATCTTGAGCTTGTGTACTGTTTCGGTGTTGGTTCCACAGGACTCGATAATCATGCCGAGGACCTTGATGGTGTCTACCCTGGGTACTGTACGACCATCTCTTTTGTGGAGGGTGATATTTCGTTCCGCAGGAGGTTTACACTCTTTGGGCCTGGTACCGTGGCGTTTGGGCAAAAATATCAACAGCTCCGACTTCGCGGGTGAGCACCTGAGACCGGTGTGGTTGAGGTAAGACTACGCGGTGTCGATGGCCTCTTGTAGGGTGGACTCAATGAAGCAATCTGACCCTGTGGAGCACCATATGTTTACATCGTCCGCATAGATAGTGTGGTTTTGCCCATCAATTTCCGAAAGTCGTTTGGAAAGCCCAATCATCACAAGGTTTAAGAGCGTGGGCGAGGGGTCCCTGAGGACTGCCTCGCTGTCCGAGCTCCGCTTCTTCCGACACTAGTTCTCCCACGTGGAGGACGGCTCTGCTTCACGGGAGAAAAGAGCGGATAAAGTAGTAAAATCAATGGCCAAGGCCGAGGGCTGAGACCGAATTCAAGATTGACGAGTGTGTTATGGTATCGAATGCCTCTTATAAATCAAATCCGAGTATTGCACGAGTGTCCCAAGTGTTTCCGCCATCAAGAATATGATGTTTTAGGAGTAACACGGCGTCTTGAGTAGATAACCCTGGTGGGAAGCCAATCATGTGGTGCAGTCAGTCGTTATCGTCGAGGGATCCCCAACGCTATTGAGGACGACGTGCTGAGCCACCTTGCCCACGCAAAACGTGAGAGATATGGGACGACGCAGTGGGACGAAGTTTGTAACTCGATTGATGGTCAGGTTTGCAATGGCAAAACGTGGAACTTACTCAAACGCCTCCTCAATAAAACCAACACCCGCACGAATCAGCCTCATTTTATCGTGAAGATACTTCATCAAGCTAAACCGACAGTATCACCAGAAGATGTCAAGAACCTCACGGAGAAATATCTCCCACTTCCCACGGGCCCTGTGACCCCTCACCCCGATTACTCTGGCAGCGACAACACCAGCTTAGACACCGACTTTTCTATTGAAGATGTGTGCCGAGCTCTCCATGAGCTCAATAGCCGCTCCGCCCCTGGCCCCGACGGCATCACCAACAAGCTCATACGCAACCTGGATGATATCTACGTCACTTACATCACCGACACTATCAACAAAATATGGGAAAAGGGTGACATACCGTTTTTCTAGCTCACACAGTTCTCATACCCAAACAGGCAAAGGCGCCGAGCCTAGATCGTTTACGCCGAAAGAAAATATATTTCCTATCGTGAAGTTCAGCCCCAGGCTAGCGAATTGGATGACGAAAAGTCTCTTTCTGAGCAATTTGTATCGGCGACATGATAAAAAATAGTGCTCTATTATTTCTGATTCTGAACAAAAGTTGCATAGCGGTGATATCGCCAGACGAGCCCTACGGGAATAGAAATCATACGGCAGGACACGACATCGAACTTCGGTTATGATGGCTTCTAACAGTCTTGTAGGACACCAATAAATTTTCCACGCGAATCTCAAGTGAGTGAATTCTGGTGTTGACATTACAGCGACAATTGTTTGACTTCGTCTTTTTTTCTTACTTCTTGTTGTTTCGCTAAATCGTTCAAAGCGCTTTCGACGGCCGATGTGGTTGTTGCATCCGCGGGGATAAACAGGCATCAATAGTGCAAGGCAGAAACATCCCTCGCGCCGCGCATGCTCAGATGGGGCGCATATGCGATGGCAGATGTCGCTGTGCTGTTTCGCGCACGACACGCCGTCGTTATAGACATGCGAGTTGAGCACTGTACCACTAGTCGAAGTTCAGCTCGCACACGACCGAGTTTTCTTGAAGCAGCTTGTCAGCGCGCGAGATCGCTATCCGCCACTGCGCAAACAAAGCTTCTTCCATTGGAACGCCGAACAACGTATGCTTAGCTGACTGCAGCCTGTAGTGCACCCCGGGGCGAAGCATTGACTTTCTTTTCGTGCCACGAGAATTCATATAGAAGTATTGGTGTTAGAGTGCCACCGCAATGAAAAAAAACAAGGATGAACGCACCCGATGAAACTGTCAGAAACGTGCAAACAGCGTTTAAAATGACTGCGTGCGCCACCACGGGGCTTCTTCCCAAAGGCTTCAATGCACTCCGTAGGCGCCGCTTCCCGCTTATCATGCTTCCCTATTCTAGCCACTTTACAACAGCCCTTTGTGATCACGTTACAACTGTGAAAGCACAGACAATAAACTGCTTCCAAGCGCAGGGCGTTGAGGAGCCTCACATGCACGCCAAAAACTCCCCCTGCCTTCCGCCCGGTGGTTGGGGAGACACGGGTCACACGCCGGAAGCTATTTGCGTTCAATGTTTTAGCACCGTTCAATACCGGCAGTAATAGGTAGAACTTTCGGCAACATGAAATTTAATCCTTGCGTATTTTCTTTCTTTTTTTTCAAGCGTTGATGTACACAAATATGTGCAGATTTCTCTATTTAGTTATTTATTTAGGTATTTATTTGTTTATTTATGAGAACCATGTGAGAAAACACACGTGAAGCTATATTTTAAATCGTCGTGCACAGACACGTTTGCGAATTGTCCTCATCGGGATCAAGCCCTCGTGGCTGGCAATGGAGCCCGCCACGACACTGCAGCGGGCTCGATTTCACAAGCAAGAAAGTGCACGCGCTCCGCAGTGTTCACTGCTTGGTCACTGACGCTTTCTAGAGCAGTGCAGTAGTGCGAGGGCATCAATCGCGTTCCCATGCAATGTCGTGCGTGGCTGGTGTCACGAAACAGTCCAGAATCTGGGTGAGTGGCCAAGGCCCCGGAAGGGAACGAAGCCGCGAGGGAGAGTGCAGGCACAAAGCGCTGCATTACACACCGTGCGTGGAACCATGCACTATTCGCTTGGCTGGACACAGGCTACCGAGACCACGATCGGTCGGCCTCAAAACGCCGCCGTCACGTTGAAGGAAAAAGACGCCCTGCCCTACCCCGCCGCAATACACTCCAGGAAGGCCGTCTTTGTTGGAAACATCGTAACAGCCACGACACGAATATTCTGAAAGCAGGGACGGTCGTCAGCTTCTGCGACCAAGCTAGTGCCAGTGGCACGGGATGGCCGGAGAAAGGAGCAAGTCGTCCAGATTTGACAAGTGAAAATTGCTTCCACAGCCTGATGCGACGGGTCTTATTTTGTGTGATGTTGAACGTAACTGGCCATTTGTTTGACCGCACATGAATGTAGAGACGCCTTGATGAGGCTAGTATCTCAAGACTTGGTGCTCGCATCTTTCAACAGTGAGCCCGGTGACACTGGCTTGCTGCACAGCCATCCTTCCGGCCGTGTGCCAGCGGTTCGACTGGCACTCTGTCCCAGCTGAGCTGCGTGCGGTGACGAAGACGAAGAGAGCGGCCAGCGCACAAAGGGCGTTGAACGGCGGCCATGCCGGCTGCCAACCGAGGCCGCCAGCGTGCCAGCATTACCGCTGTGCCGCGCAAGAGCTGCTGGGCAAGGCCAGGAATCATCGAGGCGGACGAGATCACACGGTGAGCGCTTAGGCAAACGCACTGCGTACATGTGTATTTGTGTTTATCTGGCGTCCATACAGGCACATAAGCGCACGAAGTTTCGTATGACCTCATTCCAGATCAAAGGTCCGGCAGGCGTCAGATATTCTTGTAGTGAAAAAGTTGTTTGCTTGTTTTATCAACAGTCTAGTACATGCGAACAAAATAACCAAGAAGCGCGGTACTCGCGTAATATTTGTGCTAACAATTTATGCCTGTCTACTTGTCTCTTATGTCTCGTCATGTTTGCGCCATACTTTTATATTTAGACAATGCACCAACTCGCCCAGAACGCATTACAAAAATGAAAGAAAAGGCTTCATATCTCTAACCTAACTGTAGAGGCATACTGCTTAGACATTGTGCTTCTTCGAAAAAAACATGACTGGGTGGAAAAATTGTTTCGGAATTTGACATCAGGATAGAGAACTTCGCTGACACTGTCGTTCGCACAATCTCCAGAAAAATTAAAATATTGCGCAACACGCTTCTTGGCGGGCCGGAAGCTGGCGCGCAATCGAAGTCTTGGGCACAACAGCACTGCCCCGAAATTTTAAAGCATTTCTGAAGTCGGTTGGGTAAATTTCGGGAGACCTTGGACATCCGAAGCATCCGAAACATGCCATCCAAAACATGCCAGTCAAATATCATCGTCTAGCCCTCTAAAGAGTGGCCACATGTACTTTTAAACGACTGTCGTCTCAAAGCTAAGTATATGAAATCTGTTGTAACGCAAAAGAAACAGAATGCCCTAGTTACACCCAGTGTCAAACTTGTGAAAACGGCGTAGCTGGAATTCTCCCATGTTTTCTGTGGCGTTTTTGTGGCGTCTTTGCGAGGCTAGTATCTCAACACGTGGTGCTCGCGCCGTCACACAGTGAGCCCTGTGACACCGGGGAGCATGAGAAAGGGCAGCCGCTGCTACAGCTAAGGCTCCAGACGTACTTTCACTGTGCGACTATACCCACTTCTTCCAGCCAGTTACTACATTCGGGAAGTGTCGCGTCATTCACCTGTCGTCCGGCCCGAGCACGAGAGAGCTGCGTTCTTGAAGGGTAAAACGGGTAGCGCCATTCATCGGGCCTCAATCACCCTCTGATTCTTAGAAGAAAGGCCACGAGGGATCTTTCAGCGCGACATAGACGCTCACTAGTGCAGTTGTGAATTAGAAACTGCGCCATAATTCATTATTATCCAAAGAAGCTAAACACCCACTGCTTGTCAATACGCGCCCATAAGTAGCCGTGCGCTTCGTTGCAGCTGATCATGGCCATGATAATAATAATTACTGCTGGACTCTTTGCAAAATGTGGACAGTTTGAACGCACTTAATAGTTACGCGATTCACTGCTACAGCGCCGAAACACCATTCTACATTCTCGTCACGTACTATTGCGTTTATTTACGTTACCCGCCACCCACACTGTTGCCAGCCTTCGGGTAATCACCGTACTTGTAGGGCAATGTGGGGATTTTTTATCCTATATAGGGTTGTAGGACGGTAATGTGATTATCTTGGAAAACGTAGGGCAATTTTTCTTATTTTGCTCATTATCTTTCAGCCAAAAGCGTAGTGCGACATTTCCGATAATTACTGTCTTAAGGGGATCCAAAAATACCATTGAATAAAATTAAAACTGTCTTTATCATTCCTATGTCATCAGCATAAGGTTGAGACAAACATTGAGACGAGCATGGGGTAATACTACTTATTATGCGCGGTTTGTTACTTTTCTTTCTTTCTCCATAGCCTCCCATTCATTCTTGCGGAAAAAGGTGTTCACATTTCCTGATAGCAGTTATTTACATTTTTTAAAGATGCCTCACTGAAAGATTCTATGGATAGATAGATAGATAGATAGATAGATAGATAGATAGATAGATAGATAGATAGATAGATAGATAGATAGATAGATAGATAGATAGATAGATAGATAGATAGATAGATAGATAGATAGATAGATAGATAGATAGATAGATAGATAGATAGATAGATAGATAGATAGATAGATAGATAGATAGATAGATAGATAGATAGATAGATAGATAGATAGATAGATAGATAGATAGATAGATAGATAGATACGCTCAAAGTCATCCCAGTTCCCAAAGAAATGCTTCGCATTTAACACTCATACCCTTGTTACACAAGCAACCTAAAGTGCAGTTACGTTAACCGCAGTTCGCTTATGTTACATGGCACACAAAACCGCGGTTACGCCGCTAACAACGGTTTTAGGAAACCGAGCTTGGCAACTTCAGTTACGCAGATAACCGAGAAAATGGCAGTGCCCACCCCCGATTAGTGCACGCCGCGAGCGCGCGTGGTGTTTTTCTGTCGCGAGAAACATGGTGTGCGTTTCCAGCTCTCTGGTAGCTGTAACATCGGTGAACCATGATTAGCACTAATCGCGGTTCAACGTGGTGAACCGTGGTTGGTCCTAACCGCACTCAGCTTGCCTGTGCAACATCGGTATAAAAGTGACCATCGGCTTCAAAGCGAGCGAGGCAAAAAAATAAACGTGATATAATTATTCACCTAAATGTGCCCTTGTGACGTCACAGGTCACGGAAATACGAGACTGGCATCGTGGTAACGTAAGTGGCACAGCAGTGGGATGCTAAATTATTACACCATCATATGAAATCGTCATTAGATTGTACCTGGGCGGATCCTGGAGCTACGTGAGGTGCTGCAATACTATCGCCAATGTCACGCATGCCCGATGCAAAACCACCCTAGGCGCAGGATTCTTTTGACGGTATGTGGATCAGTTCAATCGATTGAGAAGAATAAGGAAAAGGCTTTCTGCATAAGACATTGTGCCATTTTTTCCTATGTCCATGCATATATGCATTTCATTTCAATTCATTTATTTTACCCTCAATCGCACATAGCTTTACAGAGGGGAGTGGGGTACAGAAAAAAACTATAACCAAGAGCAAACATAGTAACATCAAAATATTAAAAATTACAAAGCATGAAAATTCGATGTTAGGCAATACAATGATTGTACGTGTAAGTATCATCAGAATGGGGCAAACAGAGTACAAAAATATATATGTACAATATACACTTCACGTGTCATCACGTAAGTAATTCTGTGCTGTAGATGAAAACAAGTCGTGACTTGAAATGAAAACCATGTCCGAGGGAAGGTGGTTTCAGTCGTTGGATGTGCGTGGGACGAAAGAATGATGAAAAGTGTTAGTGCGGCAGCTAATGACGTGTACCTTATGTTGATGATCTAAACTACCTGAGTAATAGGCAGGAGTGGTAATGAACTGAGCTTTCAAAAGTGGATGATTGAATATCTTGTGAAAAAGTATGAGACTCATTGACTATAAAACGTCCATTTTACAATGTGGGGTTCTCCCGTGCTTGACCAAACTCAATATTTTGTTGGCATCGTCATTAATATTATTACATAACGGCCTGAACCTGTCCAGCTGAATTCAGCTTGTTATATTTAATAAAAAGCTTTGTGGAGAGCACATTATTCGATACTAACTCTCGCTTTCAACACGAAAATGCTTTTTATGGGGTCAACCAAGAATTCAGTGCCGCACTGCCGGCAGGGACATGAGATCGTCAGATTAACGCCATAATATATGACAAAGAAAGAACATTCAAGAAAAACTTTGCCCGAATGGATGTCGAACCTCTGACACCTGGATAACCGACGACAAGCGCCTGGTGCTCGAACTTACTTATCTCCCCTTACATCACGACGCACTTGTCAATCTGCTGCGCTTTGCCGGAGTAAATCTATATAAATTCTCATTTTTTGCGCCAAACAATTTTTATTGATCAGTGTCATGGCCAACTGTGGTCTTCAGCCCAGTCGAGTGCCTCTTTGATAAGGCATATGCTTGGGCTGGTTGGTGATTGAGAATCAACATATTCCCAGTCACCAACTCAAAAGCCAACCATGCTATAAGTTCCGTGTTCGAGTGCCGAAGCGACGTAACGCTGATCATGTAAACACTGAAGCCACAAAGTTGTGCAACGCACTGAAATTAAGTAGGCCAGCAAGATCCATTGACAAAGACAAGAAGCTTAGCTTCAATTTCATCTTAACTGTCAAGACTCACGAAGTCGACTAGCTGCTTCCAGTTATTGTTTCCCAAAGTGGGACGTGGCAAAAGGAATTGGCCCTGTTTTTACAGGATAAAGTAAAGTTGCTGACTATTGACGACTCTTTTCTAGCGAAGGATTGTAATCACATCAATCAATTTCTTTCACGTAACGACAATGGCCTAAGTGCCTGCTTCGTTGACATGAAGGTTCTTTACTACTCTTAATCACATGAGAAGCTGCTACAGTGCATTGAGGACTGCATTGACAGCTTCAGTTCAGTTGCGTTCCAGATTGCAGCGGCCATAACAGTCAGCGGCTTTCTTGAGCTCGTTGGTTTTTACCTAAAGACAACTTCGTTATTAAGAATGAAGGCACTTTTATTAAAAAAAGTGTAGTGTGCATGGGTTCAAGTATATCGCCTGTTTTGAGTGACATTTTTCTCCTCACCATGACCGAGTCTTAGCTAGCCGCCTTGACAAATTGGCTGTCGTGAAGGTTTTTCGTTTTGTTGACGATTTTCTTGTGCTTTTTGACTACAATTTTAGAGGCTTCGAAACTGCCGTTTTAACCGCATTAAGTCTTTATGGTGAGGAGGCTTTGTTAGGATTCTAGATTAGACAATAAACATTCTAAGACTTTTGCTGAAAATACGAGCCTAGAGGAAGCAAACCACTTCTATATTGTACTTGTCAGCTCAATCGTAGCCTGTATTGAGCGGAATTGTTAATTATTGTTTATAAATGCTCTTCGCAAGTCTTGCGGCCACTCATTATACAGCAGCTTCGTTTGGCAGACTTCCCGTCTGATATTCGCTGGTTTTCCCGATCATGCGCTAGTTTTTGTGGCGGAAAAGTTGCTTGGGACAAATAAACAGGGACGAGAAGCTGCTTGGAACTGTGTGCGCGTGGTTTCGTTTCTCTATCTACTTAATGTTTAAATATAGGTGATAAAGTTGATTTGAAGATTGTTTTCTCAGCCCCAGAAAAGTTTTCAGTGCTCTGCTAGGGCCGCCTAGATGGGGCCCGCGTGGCGGTGTTTCTCCTGCCATTCCAATCAACGCGCGCCCCATTAAAAAGTTTAATTGGAGAAGTTCCGGTGCGCACCGCGACTCAGCGCTCTCATCTCACTCCCCTGTAGACGACGCCAATAGGGCAGCACCGCAGACATGCTTGGAGAAAGGCACACTGGACTTCGTTCACGTGGTACCTGGAATGAAGGAATGCTAATATTTATTCTTAATTGGGCTTGATACCAGAAATGTTGTTCTCTGTTCGAGACAGAGTCGAACAGCATCAGGCAATCTTGTGGAGCACACCTTGTTGACAAATTTCGCTTCCATATGACAGATGTATTAGGCTAACTGCTAACTATGTGATCTACCGCGCTTTCATATCTTTGTCTTAGCGATCATTTTTCTCATTGCTACCTAGATTGGTGTGCGTATAATAAGGTGGCCTGCTTCTCTTAAAATTAATCCATTTTGTTGTTGTCGACCCTACACATATAGCTAGGCTATGCAGTGCAACTCTGTCATCACAGCGTCATACACATTGCTGGAAACTAAACCGCAGTGCTGGTAACGCTACAGCCATTTTCACCTGAACGATGAGTGGCAAAGTTTTATTGTAGGCGCAACACATAGCATTTTCAATTTCTTATGGTACGACAGTGTTGCGAATGTGACGTTTTTATCGCATTGCAGGCAGCATGTTGGCAAATTGGAACGTAAAATTGATGGTTGCCCTTACAAAAATTATATATACGGACATGCATTAAAATATCTATATATGGCTACATCAGCAACTGGGCAAACAGGCTTTATTTAGAATCCCCATATATGGGCCTTATATAACCTTATATGCCCAGTTCCTGATATAGTCATATATGGGCCTTATACAACCTGATATACCTAATTCATGCTATACTTATATATGAACGTCGCTGTATATGACCATTTATGCCAATCATCTATATACGGCTATACATATAAGCATCCATTTATGGTTAAACATGGTCCTACATGAATAGCTTTATATAGAGCTATTCAGAAGAGTCAACTTATGTCACTTGCATTAATTATATTCACACAAATCATTCAATATCTAGAAATATTGCTGTTTGTTGAAATGTCTGCAGGGAGTCACCATCGTCTCCAAATCAAAGGCTGTACGTGTCGTTTCAACATTCTTGCTCATGTTACCCTCATTATATCTCGAGTTATTTTCAAGCAATTATTGCTAAAACTTAACTTGGCAAATTATTTAAAGTATTTTAAGTTATTTAAAGGTGAACGCATTTCATTGATAGTCTGCGTCTTGTGAAGAGATACAGTGATTGTGTAAAAATTTAAATTTTATTTATCGACATATTATTTCTTTATTTCATTACCTACAGCGCCAATCGGTATTACAGTGGGGAAGCATTCACAAATTTAGAATCAAAAATATACATGGTTAGCCAAACCAATATTCAAAGTTGCCTCAATCACATTTTGCAACACAAATACATATAACAATAAAAATGCAACACACTCATTCTGAAATAAAATGAACCAAATCATTTGAGATGGTAGAGGCAATACTTGAAGGTAGTTGGTTCCATTCTCTGATTGTTTTGGGTAAAAATCATTTTTAAATACATCAGTTTTGCATGATATTTCTGTTATCTTGAACCTATGGTCATCGAGTTCTGAGATATACTGCTGTGCAAGCAAATACTTCGTTTTATTGATTCCAACTTGACAATAAAACCTAGCATCGAAAATTCCTTCGCGATTTGAGTTTCGTAAGTAGATTTATAGTGTTTTCCTTTAAAACATTTTTGGCGTGTCAAGCGAGCGTCTTTTGTGAATTGAAAATAATTATTGACTTGCTGTTGCCCGTATGAACTGCGTGTGCATTAAATAATATAAAGAAGGTCATTATCAAACTTTATAGTCCAGTCAAAAGTGCTTGTATGCATGCAAGCTTCTCATGCGCAAGTACTGTGACTAGGAATGGGCTATGGAGTGCTGCTAAAAGTGATGTCTATAGGTTCCTGTGCGCGTAGGAACGGAGGCTATTAGCGATATTTCTTGCCAACGGGTCACTAAAAATGTCTTTTGTACACGTAACCCACTTTCCGTTCTACCCGTAGTGCATCATTAACGCAACAATGGTAAAGAGCTCGTTTCGCAGATTTCAGGCGTAGGCGTTGGTGGTTCTGGGTGAAAAATCATCTTCGCCATGACCAAAAATTGACAAATTTGCAATTAAAACAAATGAAAAAACTTTTCGAGTCTGAGTGATAATCGAAACCATGCAGGCCATTCTGAAGGCAAGCAAGAGCTCCACCACACAGCTATGCGTCTGCTTAGAAATAAAGTATGAATAACTTCCTCTGGTTCGAAATTCAGGGGAAATAACTGTCGTGTTTAACAAATGCACGCACCCTGTATACAGGTTTCACAGCACATGTCCCATTGGTCGTCTTCTCGTAAGCGCCCAACACGAGGCGTGCCACAGTCCTTTGATTTACATCCTTCCTGAATGTACCTCCGGCTTCTTGTACACCACTGAATTCCCAAGTGTAAGCCCTGAAACCATTACGCCTTTCCACAGATCTCGAAGCACTTCATTCTTGTTGTATGTCCAGAACGTTCTGTGCTTTATTATTGCGGCATTGCTCTTTCGCTCTGCTGCCGATGTTTTTTCTTGTACCTCCATATATCTATCTCTCTCATTTAGTCATTCTCAGAGGTATTGTGCTTGCTTACCCTCGCTATTGCTTTGTATTGAGACCGCCTGGTCTTCCTGATCAGTGAATACCATCAATTCACAATTTATTGCATTGAATCTTACTCCTGAGCCTCGCCTTCCCTCCTGCATGTATCTGCCAGCCACTGTATATCGTCATGACTGTCCGCAGACAGGACAATACCACCTGCATAAAATTGACCTGGAATACTAGTTGGCTCACGTCGCCATCACACGCAGCGCGCTGTCGTCACCTCCATTGTACTCGCGGCACCTGCTTAGGGCCTTTACACTGGCTGCCCGCACAGCCCCAACGCACGTTCTGGGACCGCTGCCACACGCAAGCGGAGGACAAAGAGGCCAATTGGTGACGCTCTGTCACCCTCCATTTTGGTGCGGCATGTGTGCCGGCTTGTGCGTTGCAGCTGTATGGCGAATACGTGGAGCGGCCCTTAGGCTGTAAAAGGAGGGAGCGAGCGCTTGCCTCTAGAGGGGCCTTGGGTTGGTGAAGCTTGAAGGGGGAGGTGGGGGGAGGCACAGTGACCAAGTGATTTTTTGCACCCTGCTAGCAACAGCGTCTAATCTAAACCGAGCCCTTCTTTGAGTGGAAGGGCCTGTTTTAGTCACCCTCTTAGTCATGCCCTTTTCTGGGTTGAAAAGCACTGAAGCAAGGATGAGTTTCTAAGAAGAATTCACGCATTTTGTCAGTGTTAAGAAAATTTTCTTGAGAAAACATGTTTTCGCGACAACTCCTCGCCTTCAGAGAAAGACATATTCCCGGTGAAATATGCCTGGTGGCCGAACTATAACCTGCCCTTAGATTTACATATACGCTGTGAACGCAGACATAATTGACTGTGCAATCTGCGAGCTCGCCATACGTACATGCGTCACTCTAATACGTTAGCTTCTGTCTGAGAGAGAAGCTTCACCTACCGCACGTTTGCGCGCGACCTGTCGAGTGAGGTCGCTGCTAATGTTGTCACATGCAGGAAGGCGGCTGACGAAATGCTCTCTCTGGCAGCGAGCCACTGCCGTGTGGGCTTCGTCGAGAGCTTGCAGTCGACCAAGGAGGCTGAGGTAGCCATCATCGAGCTCCCAGCAGCGGCGATATCTGCGCACGGCGACCTACCGGCGGTAGGGGACGTCGGGCTGCCCTGCAGTGGCAGCTCCAGCGAGAAACTCGACGCGAAGGATGATCCAGAGAAGACCGAGAGCCTGTGCCTCACGTGTGCCCAAGTGTTCGTGCCTTTCCTCCTGGCTGGCATGGGCTCTGTGGCGGCTAGCCTTCTACTAGATCATGTCAAGGTTCGTTCGAGCTTCAATTCAAGGTCTTGCGAGTTGCATCTCAAGTGAGCGTTCTTTCTCGTTCTGCACTAGCCAGGCGATTGAAGTAAACGAAGTAGAATTATTCGCAAGTTTCCATGAGTCAATAACTTGTCACTTTGAAAAAGTATAGGTGATCCAAAGCTAGGCTTCCAGCGGTAACTCAGTTTCTGCCTTGCATTCGCCATCACTGAGCCCGTGGATGAACATACGTCTAAGTTCTCGCCGTGTTTACATTCGTGTGGCGGATCGTTTGGCGTAGTACGCGTGTTTTGATCATTAGCCTTGTGCTTATGACGAAATAGAACTGTGCAGGCGTTCTGCAGCGAAGCAGTGTTTACAGGGGAGCTCAGATTCTCCGATTCTATGTGTCTCGTGTAATGGGTGAAACAACTTCGCAAGAACCGCCAGTGGAGTCCAACCAAGGCCCAATCGTATGTGTGGCTCCGTAGAGGCTATTTTTTTTCAAGAGCTTAGCGTGCCTGCCAAAATCAAGATATGTTCGCTGTGTTCTCTTTGGTGTTTCACGTTTAAGCAAAATTTAACCTATTGCATAACGCATTCACACTAAGCGAAAAAGTGGGGAGATTGAGAGGAAACGTCAGAACCGTGCAGCTTGACTCGGTGTCATCTGCTGTAATGTGCTCGGTGATTACGGCGCACGCCAAGAACCAACGTTTTATTAGCCGCGAAGCAGCTCCTTCACTAGTAAGGACTGCAGCGCAAGCATGAAAGTGCTATAAGAAAAGGAAACAGAAGGCGAGGAATGGAGGGCAAAGAGTAAAACATGAGCGCTTGCCTTCCATTCCCCCCCTTCTATTTCATAGAGTTTCCCAAAATTAATTAGAGGGCACTCTGGCGCTGCGATCATTAAGCGACCATGGCAATGATGGGTAGTACACACATTTGTCTTGTCTTCGTACTTGCGGGCGGCGAATCGTACTTGCGGCTTCGTTTATTGCTGGTTACGGTTTTGTTTTGAAAGAAAGAACAAACTCTTTTGAACTTAGTGAATTGATTCAATAAGGTAAGCCTAAAAAATTAAGGTTGTGAAGTGCAAACGGTGAACATTTGCTCATTTATGTTTTTGTGGAAAAGCAGCTCCAAGCCACACGAACACACACGGAGCCAGAAGCAGGCCATAAGTACGAAGATTCGACAGATGTGTGTACTACCCATCATTCCCAGGCTCGCTGAAGCGCCATGTGTTGCCGCTCCCATAGACACTAGTGCCAGAGTTCCCTCTAGTGTATATTGAGAAACATTATGTTCTGTTTGCGTTTCTTCCAGCACTTTCGTGCTTGCCCTGCAACCCTTATATTTTAACCAGCTAGTCCAAGTAGCCATTTTTATTCTTTTACTAACCTGTGCAACGCTGTCCCTCTGTACGAGTGACGTCACGCTCCCCTCGCAGTCCGCGCTAACGTCACCCTCTGCCTGGCCTGCCACACGCTCACTCCTTACTGCAACTAGTGCTCGCTATACCGCTGACTCGTCGGTTTAGGTGCAAAAAACCTGAGGCGTGCCTAACGTACGAGTACGTGTCACGTCTCTCTCGCTTTACCTTCTCCACCGCTCACAACTCTCGTGAGCACATCGAGTGCTAACACACTTTGGCTATTTTAAGTTCAATTGAGAGAACGCCGGAAGAAGACGCTTTTTCGCCCGCTGGAACTTCCACCGATGCAATTAGGCCTAACCTGGTCGTCACCGCCGTCGCGAAGGTCAGCGAAGCCGAGCGCATTCGCGAGTGGCGATGTCATTCACTCGATTAAAGGCTACACGGAGTTTTGCTTCAACTGTTTTCCCGCATCGGTGTCGACGCTCGTTTCAATGGGGTCAACACCGTGTGCACCACTGCTGCTAGGCATCCCATCAGAGTTCCCTTCGAAAAGATTGTCGAAGTGTTTACTTATAGTTAAGATTGGTATTATGGAAGAAATCCTGATAGTTCAAATGGCCATGACGACACGATGAAGGACTAGACAGGCCCGGTTGCTCAATTCCTAGCAAACTTGTTTATTTACACACTGACACTTACTTACAACTCAAGGCCGGGGTGGCCACTAAACCGACCCCATAGTAGGCACTGGACCACTTTAACGTCGGAGTGGCTTGCCGAGCTCTTCATATGCTCCCCACATCAACACCAACTTCTCGATGTATTATCAATCTTGATTCAGAATCTGCGCTAAGTATGACCTCTGTCCCCTTTTCCCGATCTCCTCCTCGAGCACCAAGCTCCCCTTCTCTTCATTTCTCTTCATTAAATACCTCGCGTCCCAACTGAGACAGCCCCGTGGGACGAACCCGTACTCAATGTTCCACCAATGCAGCAAACAACTCTCTTTTCTCAGAGACGGGTCTCCGCCTCTGCGTTCCCACGCTTTGCTATCCTCCGAGCATCGGCTAAGAACCCCGTCATTTTATCAACGTACAGCTTAAAAGATCTTTCATGCGACAACAAGCCTGTATAGGTAGCCGGTCGGCTGTCTGGTGTAATAGACATGATTCTGCCATCTATCCACACATACTTTTACAGCATGGCGTCATATTAGCTTGTCGGGAGCGGTTTCGCGACAGCGACCACTTATTTCTCAGTCTGGCTCACCGTGAGAGCACAAGCGCTGTTCAGGTGACTCCCCAGCACATGATGCGGTAAAAAAAGGCTCACGGGGTTTGACGACAAAGACGCATTTCGAGGAGAACGGCTTAGTCCACGTCATGGGCAGCCTCTTTTCATTAACTTCCCTTTTCGTCGGGTGTCCTCTAACGAGTGGCCACCTTTCGCGTGCCCCAAACATAACTCTTACATTGAACAAACATGGCAAAGCTGAAAACAACACTAGAGTTATACTTGGAAGATGCGACTATTTCGAAGATATCGTGACAATCAGAGTTAGTTTCGCGAATTTTTAAACAGTTGGCCGTATTTCTGGGTGATTCACTGCCCATGGCGTCTGCACGGGAGTGCGAGCCGGGACGTCACTGTTGACAAGACGCGTGAGGATGCGCGTTTTTCTGGCCTCTTCATTGTTTTCTGTCCCTGTTTTGATTGCGATCTCCCCCTTCCACAAGAGCGCTGATGTTTTACCCCAGCCAGGAGCATTGTACGCAACCATTGCTGTTCGTAGTGGTTCTGGGAACTGTAAGAAAAGCTGAGCAGAAGGAAATACATGGAAGAAGGATAGCAGTAGAGTTTCAACACTTACGGAAGTGTTTAGTGATATGGTAGTCAGTGGCGTACCAACTTCATATATATATATATATATATATATTCATTTATATATATATATATATATATATATATATAGTCAAGTAGATTATCTGTAAGCTGTCACAACGTGGTTTTTTCCAACGTTTCGGCCTAGAGTCTGGCCTTCACCAGGAATCCTGATGAAGGCCAGACTCTAAGCCTTCATTAGGATGTGTATATATATATATATCTGTGTGTGTGTGTGTGTGTGTGTGTGTGTGTGTGTGTGTGTGTGTGTGTGTGTGTGTGTGTGTGTGTGCGACGCAAGAAAGTAGCGATGGCTCGCAAAAGCTGAGAAGGAAGAAGTGAGAATAAAAAAGACATGAGGTATTGGGCAGGCCACGTCTCCCGTTCATCATAGTGTCACACGAGTCGACAGGATAGAGACCTTAGAGCGCCTTCATCAGTCGCACATCATCGACAAGGTTCTCCGCAAGACCCCTTGACCATAAATGAACTACCGAACCAGCACATAGCAGTACACATCGACGAGCATCTTGACGGAATCATCGAGTGACCTTACCATCCTCAAGTACACCGGAGCAGTGGACGATGGACCTGCACAGGACTGGTTCAACCTGTTCGAGCTCCACGCTGCCACTGCATCATTGTCAGAACGGGAGATGGTCGCCAACTTTACCGACTACGTCTCTGGTTAGGCCTTCAAATTCTACCTCACCCACATATTTCAAAACGACTAGTCATGGCAAAATATCAAACAAGAAATGATCGTTTGGTTTAAAGATTACAATGACGACTACGACGAAGACTTGCTTATAACCTACCATCTGCAGACAACCGCGCTCAGTCGTCACAGTCAAAAGCAGCCTTCACGCATTGGTCAACCTCCTGCTTTTCGATCGCGTGGATCTTCGGTCGCTCACAATGCCCACCTCGTGTCTCACACGATAACTATGGTCTAAATAGAGCAAAGAAGCTCGAAGCATACTCAGTGAAGCCCGGGACCTACAGTTCTGTTTCATGTGCCAGAAGAGCTCGCATCATTGGTTGCACAGAAAGACAGTCATTCCCAACTAGAATCTGACCAAATCACGCCTATTGCGGTGTCGCCATCGAGAGCACAGCCATCTGAAACCCAAAACACAGGAGGCTCGGAAGCAACTATTACAGGTTGCCAGGTGCAAGCCTATGTAATGAATGATGTCGCAGGCGCCTGTGATGTTCCTCCAGTGAAATCTGTCCTACCAGCTTCGCTGCCTGAAAAGATTTACAACAGCCCACCCACTAGCAGCGGCTGACTGAACACTACATCATTTTAAAAAAAAAAACCTGGCATGATGTTCAAGAAGCGCTCCAGCCTCAGCACGTTCCAATACAACCGCAGCAACGCCAGCTAAATCGAGACCAAAAGTTCGAGACACTGCAACGAATACACCAACAAGGACGACGATGCAAAGCGAGAATCCTAAAGCAAACTCGAGATGTTAGGCTTATACGCATAAGGTATCGGCGCCAAAAACGCATTTGGCACAATATATGAAGACTCCTCCTACGATTACAGTTCCAAAACCACAGAAAACGACAAAACAGACGAAAAGCATTATCTGTAGAACGCAGAGACCAAGACACCAATCCGTGAGCCGCGACCTCCACACTCGCAAACTGGAAGCACACTATCTGTTCCCGCCACGACACACAATTCGACACCTTTGACATCTGAACCTAAAATGCCACAGGGACTCCCAACCTTTTCCGTTCCTCGCAA